TTTTTTTTGGTGCAAAATACCCTTCCCTCCTATGGCTATTTATAGGTAAAAAAAATTTACTATTCATTAATATTTTAATATTATTTATTATTTTAATATTATTTAAAAAATAATATTTTAATCATTTACTCACCAAATCTGATCTTAGTTTCTACCTACTAATTTCTTCCATGCTAAGGAATCTTAATGCTGAAAATTTATTTTTATTTTTTTTTTTTTACTATTTACTATTTACTATTCACTTTTTACTATTCACTATTCAATTTTTACTATTCGATTTTCTTAAAAAAAATACTAAATAAGTTATCAAAAATTTTAACTTCTCCTTATAAAATTACTATAATTTTATATCCAAAATTTACATTTTTCTATCCACTAAAATTATTATTACTAATAAAATGCTAAAATTTACTACTATATCTATATATATATTTTTATTTTTATGGGTCTTACATTTAACACTCAATTTCTACTCCAAACCATCAAATTCAACAACTTAGGGACCAAAAACTCATTCTACCATTTTTGACTCATTTTTAAGTAATGTAGAGACTCAAACAAGTCACATTTGACTTAACAAAGCTATCCCAATAGACCAAAACAACATCTAATTCTCATTTTCACTACTCCACTTCCTCATAATGACTTAAACAAAGATAAACTACTACCATTCATAATTAATCAACCTCACTACAACTTTCCTCTCACAGATTCCCAACCTTTTATACCATCAAAACAGGTCATTACATAATTCAAAACAGTCCAGAATATCAATTCATGCAATTACATTCAAAATCACAATTCACATATTGTTCATATACCACAAAACATCATTTCAGTTCAAATAACTCAAGGATCATCTTTTCCACAAACATACACAAGAAATTACACAAATTAAAGAAATTTCCTAGTTTCCCTTACCTCTATAAAACTGTACAACTCAAGAATTACACCGACAGTTGCTTGCACCACAAGAAAACTCTATAAAAACCTATAACTCACCGATTGGTGATAGGAAACCAACCTTAGAACTTAAATTGAGCTAGAAATTGAAGAGAAAAACAACTAGATACATGCAAACAGAAATCGTTGCATGATCACAGTCCAAGAACGCACAGAGAAAGAGAGGATACAACTTACCAATTCAAAATAGAAAATTGATCGGTAGAGATTGTAGCCCTCGACGCCAGGATCGTCTAGGTACTCCCTAATCATCGAATAGGAGATCCAAGCGTGATAATTTGTAGAAAGAAGTGAGAGAAAACGAAAAGAAAAGAGTTTAGAAAGATAGACCGTGTTTTAGATAATGAGACAAACTTTATAAAATTCTATTTATATTATAAAATTATTTTATAATAAAATACTGGGTCTCATTATTTTAATACACCTATCTACTCTAATACTCTATTTTTTCTCTCTTTATATATAATAAATTTAAACAAGTTAGAGAAATTAACATTTAAAAAAGTTAGTGGCTTAGTTTGTCGATCCATTTTTGTTAAGATAAGTCAACATTTTTTATTATAATGAATCAATTTGCCTAACTTTTTTTAAGAGACCAACAATAGATTAAATTGAACTGTTTATCAATCTTAAACAAAATTAAATTATTAATAAATTATTGAAAATACGGACCTTAAAATTAAAATTAATACGTTTTTTATTTTATAATTATAGATAATCTCCGTAGATTATTAAAATAATTGAAATTTTATAATTATATATATATATATATATATATATATATATATATATATATATATATGAAATTAGATAAATGGAGAAATAAAAGAAATATGTTACTTCATAAACTTTTATTTATTTTAGCTTAGTAAGGATGATTCTAAATATTTTTTATTAATTTAGATAACATATTAGGAATACATAATTATTTATTTATTCTAAAATTATTTGACAAATTAGAGATATACAAGACTAATTAACACGTAGGCACATATAAGCATGTCCACGTACTCATATCTACATAAAAAAAATACACATCTTTCTTTACTTTTTCTATTTTATCTTCATCGACATAATTTTTAACTTATTTGTTGAAAGCAATTATAAAACTGTCACAGATTTCAATTTATTCTCATTTTTTATTTTCTCATCTTGTTTCTCGGTTTCAATCCTCACTTACAATTATTTTTCACTATTTCCATTCCCTATTATATTTGTTTTTTTTCAAGCTATCTTTTGCTTTTCTTTTTTAAATTTCATTTTTCACTGTTGTTTAGGTAAATAAAAATAGGAAAAATATTCACACATAGAAAATAAAACAAATTAAAAACCAAAATTGAAAATTAAATTAAACTTTAATGTAATCTAGAAAGAATTTAAAAATCATACATAATCCGATAGGTTAGAAGTTCATCATAAAATTTATAGTCAGAAGAAGGAAGACCGTTAGAAAAATAAGTAAAAACAGAAAAAAAAAATAAACAATTGCAGTTTATTGTACATTTAAGTTTGGATTCAAATTTTTACAATAAATTATTTATATTTTATTTGATAATTCTTTACATTTGATTGTACTTTCAAATTTGAATTAAAACTTTTACTAAAAAATATTTATAGTTTATTTAATAATACTTTCATAATTAATATGTTTTCACCCTTATAATTTAGTTACTCTTGCTCGTTTAGAACTTTTAACCTACATTTTTAATAATACTTTCATAATTCATATTTTATTAATTATTTATTATTTTTAAATAATTTTCATATCTTATTTTACCGTTTAAATTAAAAAAATAAATATATTTTTCGTCCTTTAACTGAATTTAGTCAAATTTTATCTTAATTTAATCCTTAAACTTTATAAATATTTCGTTTTAATTCTCTATACGTTAACAGTTTTAGAAAAGACAACACCTTACTCCAAATTTTCTTACCCGATAACATTATGAAACTCATGATAAAATGTAGTATTTTTTTTATTGATACCCATGTGTTTATTTGAGTTTTGAATGTAAAATTTATTTTGATCTTATTCTTTTGTTGATGTATAATACATTACAGTAAACATTTTATATTTCTATAGTTATTTCCTAAAAATAGTTAATATAAATTTTGAGATTATTAGTACCAAAAAATTTACATTTATAAAATAAAATTCATAAATTATAAAATGAATACTCGGTATTTTATACCAAATACGCAATTTATCAAATTAGTTTAATCTCAAAACTTTAAAAAATTTAAAATTATTTTGATTCTTCAGACATAACACTTAAATTAAAATTACATTTTATAAATTTTAAATAAATACTTTTAGTTTTCTCGAATATTATTCTAAATTTTAAAGATTAGAAACACAATAACTAACATAACACATGCAATAAGTAATTCTTGGCACTCATTAGCAAAATTGACGTGACACTTAACACTCATTAGCAAAATTGATGTGACACTTAACGAAATTTTCCTAGACAATTAAATTTTTTTTCAAATGTTTACTTGAATGAATTTGGGGGAGAGTAATTAAATGGATTTGAAAAGATTTGAAGATAAATTTTTGTTGTTTTTTATTTGAATAGATTTAGAAGTAACTGACAATAAATTTGGAAGTAAAGTTTGTGATAATTAGTGTAAGATTTAATTGACGGCAAATTAAAAAAATTTACTTCCAAATTCACTCTCACTTATCTCCAAATCTAGTCAAATAAAAAAAAACAATTTTATCTTCAAATCTCTCAAATTCAATAAAGCCTGAATGATTGCAGTGTGATTTAATTTTATCAATCATGATATAAGTCACCATACATTTAATAAATTTAACCCGTCTCCGTGAAAAAATAATTTTATTTTGTTGAAATTAGCATATGAGCATGTGATACGCGCTATAACTAATAATAATTTTTAAAGAATATAAAATAAAAAAAATACTTAGTGTTTGTATACATAATCTTCTAAAAATCTTATAAAATATAAAATAAAAAACCACGTGAAATGAATGTTGCTTTTTAAATAAGAATATTGGGAATGACAACGGGTTCTGACGTGCTCTTCACCCACTCAATACAAACCCACAGCGCATGATTTTACGAAATTATCTAGTTTAAAACATTATATTGTACTAATTTATTAATTAAGATCTTGTAAAGATATTCAAGTAATCCATTTTCCAATTATTCTTCGATTTTTTTTCAAAGAAGTAGTTGAAAGCTTCACAAATTTAAGTCTCTTTTATAAAATAGGTGAATTAAGATTTGCCATATATAAAAAAATATTCAAATTATCCAAAAATATTTTCAATAAAACACAAATTTAAATAAAATATGAAAAAGGTTTTAAAAAAAGAAGGTCGTAGATTTATTATTGTTGTAGATATCGTGGAAGAAAGAGAGTCGTAGAATAATGAAATGGCTAAAAATCAGCGTGTATTGATTTACAGAGTAGAATACAACATCCAAAAAATTATTTCTTCAACTGCTTTTTCTCCCAACAACTGGTTGACAGTTATTTTAATAATAAAATATTAAATATCTGATTTTGTTCTTGTGCTATGAATCTGATACAGAACCACATGTTTATCTGCTAAGCTTTCTTGTTAAGTGTAAAACAACTTGGGTGGAGTGTTTGGTCGTGTGGTGGAAACTTTTGGGCGAAGGAATCATCACTCATGGGCATCAAAGGCAGTGAAGGAAGTCTAAACTCAACTCCTCTGCTGTCTTCGAGCAAAGATGGAGTTGATTTCCATGACGATGAGAAAAGTGAAGCTTCTGGGATGACATTTATGCTTGTTTTCACCGCCGTTTCTGCTACAATTGGTTCTTACGTTTTTGGGTATGCTGTAAGTTATCAATCACACATTTTGGTTCATCACAATTCAGAATCATCATTTCTGTTCTTGCCGTCACATCACACACCTCTTTTTGCAGCTCGGATATTCATCCCCTGCTCAGTATGGAATCGTGCACGACCTGCATCTCTCTGTCGCCGAGGTTACCACCTAACAATCTTTGTTTTTGTCATCTTTCTTAAAATGTATCGCCGTTGTAAGAACAGTTGACTTTTCTGGAAATTGAATGTTCCTTGTAAAATTTTGATGTTTAAGTTGTGTATATCTTTTCCGGTATTCTCTAATTTTACTTGAGGACACCTCAATTGTTTGTGTAATACATAGATGAAACTAACAATACCTAAGAAGCTGTTTTAAGTTTTCTCTTAAATTCACTCCTTATAGTTTATTGGTTCTTGTTTATTTGATCGTTTATGTCACTTTTGCAGTACTCAACTTTTGGTTCAATATTGACGATTGGAGCGATAGTTGGTGCCACTTTAAGTGGTAGAATAGCAGATTATGTGGGTCGGCGATTGGTAAGTCAGAGACAGATTACGCTTAGTTTTAGTTTCAGTGGTACAGTTGTTCGCTTTTGGTTAAATTTTTCATTTTTCCATGAAGGCCATGGGTTTCTCGGAGGTTTTCTGCATCTTGGGATCAGTTATCATAGCATTCTCAAAGGTTTGGCATTAATTTCTTCCCAGATTTCTCAAATTGAAGTTTACGGATATCCGAGTTTCTTTATTAACCAGGCTTCAAGCAAAGCTACTTCTGAGCTAATTGGTTTACTTCGTGGTTGTTTCTACCTGTTCCTTCCTACGCCCAAAGCCACAGGATTTCTATCTGTTTCTCTGAATTTCCTTAAATTCAGTCTAAGATAATGAATATTCCGTGTTTGAAGGTTTCTTGGTGGCTTTATATTGGAAGAATGTTGGTAGGATGTGGGGTTGGCATCATATCTTATGTGGTAATTGCTTTAACGTTTGATATGTTATGACTGCAATTCAAATTAATGTTATTCAGTCAATCGAGAAATACATGTAACACAGTTCCCTTTGCAAATTAGGTTCCAGTATACATAGCAGAAATAACACCCAAGGATCTCAGAGGAGCATTTACCGAAGGTCATCTGGTAAAGGAATACTATAAATGATATCACCTCAGTCATTCCACTCTTATTTTGTGTATCGTGCCACTTAATTTTTTGTGTCACTCAAAGGCTTACTTTAAATGTCTATTTGGTATAATTGTGGCAGTTAATGACTTGCTGTGGGTTGTCATTAACTTATCTTATTGGCGCATTTTTGAATTGGCGGATTTTGGCCTTGATTGGTAAATATACTTGTACTATTCTTTATGTTGCTCTTTTTCACAAAACCAAATTAAAAAGGGTTCGAAGTAACTCACATAATTTTTTGTCTTTATCTCAGGAACTGTTCCTTGTATTGTGCACCTTCTGACTCTTCCCTTCATTCCTGATTCTCCCAGGTGGCTGGTGAGTTGTTCTTAGCTTCTGGAATTTTGCTCTTTGATCAGTACATGTTGGACACTTATCACACAAGCAACCTAGTTTTTTCTTCTGTTTGTCAAATGATTAGAGTCAACACATGTCATTTGATAACACAGCACAACCGATATTTGTAATCTTCTGCAGGCTAAGGTTGGTCGGTTGAAAGAGAGTGAGTCTGCTCTACAGCGCCTAAGAGGAAAGCATGCTGATGTTTATGAGGAGGCCACTGAAATCAGAGTACACAACAAGTTCTTGTTTGGGTTATGATCTTACTGGGGGACACATATTTTAATATATAACATTTTTTGGCTGTACCTTCATTTGTAGGAATACACAGAAGCCCTTCAGCAACACACAGAAAAAGGCAATATTCTCGTCTTATTTAAGTTGCAGTATTTAAGGACACTTACTGTGAGCATTCTAAATCCATTCCATTCATTCAGGCTATCTTAATGATTCCAGGCTCTCATGGTATTTAGTTACTCGTTTAGGTAGGTGTAGGCTTGATGATGCTGCAGCAGTTTGGAGGGATTAGTGGCATTCTTTTCTATACAAATTCCATATTTATCTCTGCTGGTAGGTGCAGCTCCTTCTAACATATGCCAAATAAGAAAAAACAAATCATAGAATACTAGATTTGTGCATGATTCATTAAGGCAAAGATTCTTCTCTTTTACAGGATTTTCAGACACTATTGGAACAATAGCAGTGGGTGTCTTCAAGGTTTTTATTTCTGTTTACTCAATTTCATTAGTTTTGTGTGCTCAATTCTATACAAGTCAAGTTCAGTGCCATTTTGGATGATACGTGTACACTTCATTCCAGGGTCTTCTCTTCACATAGTCCTTTTATTTTTGTTTATAGGTCTCATTTTCATTTTTAGGAGTACTTTTGATGGATAGATGTGGAAGACGACCACTTTTACTGGTAAAATGGCCAAACGTTTTTTTTTCCTTTTTTAAATTTTAATTTTATTTTGTTTCCATGTTCTGTTGATTCTCATCCAAAATTTGGACTCTTACACAGGCTTCTGCTACAGGAGCATGCATAGGAAGCTTCCTGACAGCCCTATCATTCTTCTTGAAGGTTCTTTTCTTTCGATTGAAGATCTTTGCTTTAATCATTTGTTTTTTGAATCATTTCTAAGAACAATCAGGCTTACTTGATACAGGATATACAGGAATGGAAGTCGATAAGTCCCTTTATAGCGCTTGTTGGTGTACTGGTAATGCTTTTCTAACTCTACCAACAGTTGCATCTTCTACTTATCCTTGTCTTTTCATTTTTCACTGGCCTTGTATTTGTCTTAGTAAGATCGAATTGAATTTAGGACTTTAATTTTGTCTCTGAAGTTTAATTCTCCGACAAAATTTCAATTCATGTTGCATATTCAGCCTGGTTTACTCATGGACTGAATGACTGATAGATAAAAGCAATTTGGTTTTAAATTTCCTAATGAGCAGGTATACATGGGATTGTTCTCGCTAGGCATGTCTGGAATTCCGTCTGTTATAATGTCTGAGGTAGCTTTGTTCAACTATGCTTCGACTCATCAAATTAAAATTGAAATATAATAAATCCTCAGCACATGAATGCTGTTCATGTATATATTTTTTCAGATATTTCCCATTAATGTGAAGGGCACTGCTGGAAGCTTAGTAATCTTGGTTAACTGGACATGTTCATTGATTGTTGCATATACTTTTAACTTTCTCATGAGTTGGAGTTCATCAGGTAAACTTCAATTTACTCTTATTTCCTGTTTTCCACTCTAACACATACATTAATTTCCTCTAGAGACAAGACAAAAAAATCAGTAAAACATCCAAATTTAAAGAGAAAAACATGGAAAAAAAGAATACTAAGGGTTCATTGTCATGTTTTGGTTGTGTTGGAGCAGGAACTTTCTTCTTGTTCTCTGGCATATGTGCCAGCACTGTTGTTTTCGTAGCAAAACTAGTACCAGAGACCAAGGGGCGTACACTAGAGGAAATTCAAGCTTCTTTGAATACCTTCTGAGAGATGAATTTGGTATTCCTCTGCAACAGAATTTCTGCAAGTTGCACATTGATGGGGTTTCGTGTAAAGAAAGTTTATTCAAAAGTTACATAAGTTTGAATCTTGGAGATAACAATCTCCAAGTCACGATCATTTTTTTGTGATTGTATTATTTATCCAATTTAATCAGTGCAATGTACGGTAACATATCAAAATTGTCAGTATTAGCTAAAACAGAGACTCTGTGTATGTAATTTTATTTGCTGTCTTAGAATTTATATAAATAAAAATGTATATTATGTATATAATTTATTTTATTTCATTTTATTTATAATATGAAAACAAGAAATTAATGTGCACACTTTTATAATCCATGCTAGTCACTTTCCACTCTCATTATTTGTTTTTTTTTTCAATTTGACTTAAAAATATTACTGAGTAAAATTTGAAAACAATTTATAGTGTCAATTGCTATAATGTATTATTACAAATATAAAAAAACTAAATAAAATTGATTATGTAAAAATATAACTTAAATACTTTTTGTTTCTCAATTTTTGTTTTATGTTTCTAATATTTTTTTTAAAATTGGATACTTAAAAAGTTATTATATGTTGAAGTGTTTTCTAAACCAAAATACGCTTCAGAAGAATGGTTGAAGATTAATATAATATAAATTAATTTACTTTAAGTTGATTATATGTGTTGCCGGCAAAATACATTATCACATGATAACAAGTATAATAATAAAAGAGAAATTTAAAAAAAAAAACCTTAAAAACAAGTTAAAAAGAGTGAAGTGATAATAAGAACAAAATGAAAATGATTTTTTTTTCGGGATCTTCAACCAAAATTTTGTAATGAATTATATATCTAATTAAAAAAAAAATTGGATACTCAAAACAAAAATAAGTAAATCTAAAATTCATATAAATCTAAGAATAATAATGATGGATATTATGTATCATATTGTATCGTATATTATGACTATTAGATACTAAAAATATAAAAGAATTTTAATTGTGTGGATGCTATGTTTCATTTTGTATTAGTCATAACAGAAGACCAACATGGTTCAAGTGACAAACATGTTTGGTCTTTTATGGTGTTAGAAGTTAAATTCTAAAAGTATGAAACATGGTCAAAGAGATTAATAGTTGTGTCTTGGATTATAATACCTACTGAAGTTTGAGTTGTAATAATTAAAAAAAAAAGGACTTGCCAATAATAGTAGAAATATAGTCAAAGTAACATTTTAATTTTGTATTAAAAAGTTAATAATGGTGGGTTGAAAATAAAATATAAATATTTTCACACAAAAATATCTAAGTTACTACTTCATCGCTCACCACCAATTTAGATTATCTACAGTGTTTTTGTATTGTTTATCTGTTGTAATATTGATGGAAATTAATTTTGATATTTTAAAATATACTATAATTTTGTTAATGCATCAATCTCTACTTTAAAGACTCAGGACAACACAAAAGAATCTTGAGGACTTGGTCATCACATGCAAGAAAAGGTAAGATTTTTAGAATGCCACAGCTTGGAACTCTTGGCCTTTTGTGCAAGCTTATGATGACACATCCTACAAAAAATCTACGCCTATCAGTTCAGATTTCACATGCCCAGTAACAAAAACCATGTCACAGTCCCTCCAATGAAGTTCAGTTCAAAACATCAAACGAAGTATCGAAAGTCAATAATACACAAGACTTATCTCCAACACTGTCGTCCAAACTAGTCATTTTTGGACCTCACAAAGCACTGTTCTTCATAGATTCATTTACTGTCACAAACAACCTTAAAATTCTTAGTGGCTCCCATGGACGACAGTGCTAAGAGTGCTGAACCGAGAGAATTTTCAAGTCCTTTGCTTTCCACAGAAATATTGCAAGCTTATCATGGTAACGATGGGGTTGAGTGTGAGGAAAAGAGGCAGGAAGAAACTTGGTCGGTACCAGCTATTCTTATTCTTACCACCCTTGTTGCGGTCTCAGGTTCTTATGTTTTTGGGTCTGCTGTAAGTTCCCTTCACACGTTTTTGCTTTGGCAGTTTTATGAGAGTTTGGAAGTACCATTGCCAGTGTATGAATTTTGCAGATTGGATATTCGTCTCCTTCTCAAAATGGAATCATGGATGATCTCAATCTCGGCGTGGCTGAGGTTTGAACTTTGAATCACGACCTTTGTTTTTGTTTGTCATGTACTAACCATTTAACTGATGAGAGGAAGGAAGGAACACATTTAATACCTTTTTATTGGTCTGGTTTTATCCAGTATTCGATTTTTGGATCAATACTGACGATTGGAGCAATGATTGGGGCCATCATAAGTGGTAGAATAGCAGACTACGCAGGTCGAAGAGCTGTAAGTTTATTCAATTTGTGTTTTGAAATGAAAGTTTCATGTGGTTAGGTATTTCAAGACATGGGAGATTTGAAACCAATCAGTTATAAAAAAGTCTATATAAGAAATTACAACATCACTTTTAACTTAACATTAGGCAATAAGTTTTCGTGAATCAGTCCATATAAGATACTGTAACAATACTTTTAATCCAAAACCTTCAAGCAACATGTTTAGGAATCTTCTACTTGTATACTGGTATTTTGAATTCCTAACAATCTTCTCCACCTTGAATTACTTGTCATCCTGAATTCCTAACAACCTTATTTCAATCTTCCGTTTTCTTCCATTTTGAAAAACAGGCTATGGGTTTCTCCGAAGTATTCTGCATCTTGGGATGGCTTGCCATATCATTGTCAAAGGTTACCATCCTTACACGCCACTTTCATATAAGCCTATACAAGCAAAATATCTTTTTGAGCAATTAACTTGATCGATAAAGCAAACCTTGATATTTGCACACAAGTTAAGTCGTTTTTATCTGACACTTGGTGCTTGTTTGAAGGTTGGTTGGTGGCTTTACGTGGGAAGATTTTTGGTAGGATGTGGAATGGGCCTTCTATCTTATGTGGTAATTGTTGTGACTCTTAGTTTTTCACAAATGCAGTTCGAGAGGAATTCGGTCGCTCAAAACAAAAACAATGGGTTTGTTTCTTCTGTTTCCATTATAGGTACCAGTTTATGTGGCAGAAATAACACCCAAGAATCTCCGAGGGGGATTCACCACAGTTCATCAGGTAAGGAAACGATGATTCTTTTCTGAGTATCACTTTGCTTCCATTGCAAGTAATAGGCTTATTTAAAATCCAATTTGGAGTTTCTTTTGACAGTTAATGATTTGTTGTGGGGTATCATTAACTTATCTTATTGGATCGTTCTTAAATTGGAGGATTTTGGCTCTAATAGGTAATGCTCATCTGCATGGTTTTCATCTAACATAGTGAAATTAAGAAAGGTTGCAATGTAAGTGGCATTTTCTTTCTTTATCTCAGGAACTATTCCGTGTCTCGTACAACTTTTGGGTCTATTCTTCATTCCCGAATCTCCTAGGTGGCTGGTGAGTTGTTTGAGATATTTTTGTTGATCTGTTGTTGAACATGACATGATTCACACAAGAAACTGAGATTTTCAGTCACTTGTGTCAAATAATTGGAATCACTACATGTTAGACAAACACATTGCAAGTTTGTGACAGTTTGAAATCTTGTGTAGGCAAAATTTGGTCACTGGGAAACGAGTGAATCTGTTCTACAGCGTCTTAGAGGAAAGAATGCTGATGTTTCTCAAGAGGCCACTGAAATTAGAGTACATATAGTGTTTGTTCATTATTGTGTTGGGGTAGTAGAAGAAGCTTAAGAGTCTAACACATTATTCTATGTTATTTTTTTTGTAGGATTTTACCGAAGCCCTTCAGACCAAAACAGAAGCTACCATTTTTGGCTTATTTCAGTTGCAGTATTTGAAGTCACTTACTGTGAGCTGAGCTTTCTAAGATATATTTTCTTGTTCTTGCAGCCTGTCTTGTCCTTTTTGCAGATTCTTATGGTATTTTTTAATTACTTTGTTAGGTAGGAGTTGGTCTGATGATACTGCAACAGTTTGGAGGGGTTAACGGCATTGCTTTTTATGCAAGTTCTATATTCATCTCTGCGGGTACATGCATATTCTTTTTTTAATGCTTCTAACACATGACTGATAAAGAAGATGGCCATGAGAATGTTCAACTTATAACACAATTGTCATAGAGGCAGAAATTCTTATCTATCTCAGGATTTTCGGGAAGTATTGGAATGATAGCAATGGTTGCAGTTCAGGTTTTCATTCTCTTCATACAGTTGATTCGCTTGCCTTCTTACTGTTGTATAAAATGAGATAGATGCCACTCCTTTGGTGAGTCTTCTCTTCACTTGTATCTTTATAGATCCCAATGACAGCTCTGGGAGTGCTTTTGATGGATAAATCTGGTAGACGACCACTTCTGCTGGTAGAAAAGATGATGTTTTGTTTCTTCTGTTTTGTGCTGATATGTAAGATCTGAATCCAAAATGTTTAGCTTTATGCAGGTTTCTGCTTCGGGAACATGCTTAGGATGCTTCCTTGCAGCCCTATCATTCTTCTTGCAGGTTCTTTAAATAACAAAATCTGCTCTACCAAGATTGCTTTTTTACTTTAGTTATTTCAAAATGGTCAATTAATTGAGCTTGCCTCATGCAGGACCTACATAAATGGAAGGAAGTCAGTCCCATTCTGGCACTTGTCGGTGTACTGGTGATGATTTTTCAACGGCAATGTTTAAGCAATAATGCACCATTATTTGAATCTTTGATTACAGTGTGCAATCTTATGCATTTAATTGGATAATAATAACAATAACAAAACATAAATTCAAATTCATTACTCGTTTTATGACATTGAAATGAGATGAAAGAATGTTACCTGTGTTTTCTTTTTGCCCAGTTAATAATAACATCACCGAACATCAAATACTTCTAGAGTGTATAATGTAATGAAGTTCGAGTTCTTTACTGTCAAATACTCACACCAAAAAATGACTTCTTTCTTTGTTTCTAGTTAGCATTTTATTTGTAACGAAGAATATTGAAAACATTGAAACAAATCCACGTACCTGATATTTTGAACAGTTAGTTTTTTCAATGATCAGGTATATACAGGATCATTCTCTCTTGGCATGGGAGGAATCCCCTGGGTTATAATGTCTGAGGTATAGTTTCTGAACATATATATATGAAATAAAAAATGGATCATAAGAAGTTCTTAAAGTGTACTGAATTATCTTTTTCATGGCTCCCAGATATTTCCCATTAATGTGAAGGGCTCTGCAGGAAGTCTTGTGACTTTGGTTAGCTGGTTGTGTTCTTGGATCGTGTCATATGCTTTTAACTTTCTCATGAGTTGGAGTTCCGCAGGTAGGTTCATTCATACTTACTGCACCCTTAAAAGAGAAAACCAAAATGACCCAGAAAAGAAATGATACCAAGAAAGCAAAAACTCACATTATGTTCGTTCAGGAACTTTCTTCATCTTCTCTGCCATATGTGGCTTCACTGTTCTGTTCGTGGCAAAACTAGTGCCAGAGACGAAGGGGCGTACGCTAGAAGAAATTCAAGCATCCCTCAAGAGATGAATTCGGCACATTTATGAAGGACACGGACAAATGGTGATTTATGAACAACTTTTACAACGTTGATCTGAAAACTACTTTTTCAAATAAGAACCGATGTATTGAAATAACCAGCAATTTAATTTTCGGAACAAATGATACAACTTTGTTTTTGAACAACGTGTAAATGATCATTGCCTGGGTCTGGGAGCAGGAACAACTCGCGCAAACTCCGAGGGCCAATGTCTGTGTCTTGCAAACGTGCTTATTAGAAGACCTGGGAATCGCGTTTTCTTAATTTTGTTAGGGATGGTCAAACGGTAACAAAGAATAACCAAAATAAAAAATGGTTTCTAATTATTGACAACAGTTTGATGTTTGACTAAAACGTGTATGAGCATAAAAATGGTAGAAGAGAAATGAAAAAGAAAAGAAAAAGATTAACGAAGTGATAAAAAGAGGTCAACGCATAATTAATACGTGGCATGTAGGATTAGGAGATAAGAGGTTAGCGTTTGGTTAAAATTTAACCCACAGAAAAAAAGAAAGAGATAAAAAGCTATTTGCGCGGAGTCCAACGTGGGACCCGGCACCGTTTGCTCCATGAAGGATTCCAGCTCATACCCCGAAACAAACACGCCCTTCCTTTTCTTGCGTTTTGTTTGGTTGGCACTCTCACTCTGCCACCCCATGCCCATGCTATGCTTTTCCTTTTTATTTTATTAATAACTTCTTTCTCTTCTTCTCTTCCAGAATCCCTTCTCACAAATTGTTACAACTGCTTTTACGTTTTGATTATGATTATTGTTATTATGCCATGACAAGCTCAACCGGTTTCCCTTTCTATCCGCCTTTTCTTTTCTCCCTCGTCTTCCCTGCCATGATCAAATTGTTCAAGAGAAACACCTCCACTGACACGTGTCATCATCACCACCACTATCACCACCATCCACTTTTGGGCCTTGGACTCGCCACCACAGACGTCCACAGACCTCCCAACGTTCTGGAGTCCGCCATGCTGAAGCCCAACAGCGACGTGCCTCGGCCCAAGAAGACACAGATTGGATCCCTTGACGAAGAGGTGGTCTGCTTCGTCAGCGGCTTGGCCTCATGCACGGAGACTCTAGGCTGCGAGAGCTCCGACCAAATCCACAGTAATTGCGAGGACGAGGATGTGATCGATGGCGAGAAGATTTCTCGGAGGAGGACGGTGAAGACGGAAGGGAGAGGGAAGGTGAGGACATTTCCACCGCCGCTGTCGTCGCTCAATCGGAACGGTAAACCGAGTTTTTATCTCCGGCCTGTGAGGAAAGACGGGAGGTTGGAGTTGACGGAAGTGAGAATAGAGCGACCGGAGATTCTGCATGCATGGCGAGAGAACGGGCGTTTGACATTGCGTCTGGTGTCAGATCTCGAAGAGGAAGAGGAAGACATAGAAGAAGAAGAAAAAGAAGAGGAAGAGGAAGAGATAGAAGAAGAAGAAAAAGGAATAGAGGAAGAGAACGTCGGAGAGTGGAGGCTCCGGAGTAGTGAAGGGTTAAGGAGGTGTCACGAGATGGTGAACCATCATCACCATCACCATGTTCATGGCAGCATGCGCATGTGTGGAATCAGCATTGTGTGAGGGTTGGAGGGACACGTGGCATGGAGCTTTGAAGGGGAATGAATGATTTGAACGTTGGAATTTGCACTGCAAAAATTGGCAGAAGAAGGGTTGGATGTGTATAGAGAGAAATCATGCATGCATGCGGTGGTGTTTGGTTGCTGGAAAAACGACACTACCAAGAGGTCCACACAGGCTGTAATTACTTTGCTGCGTTTTGTATTCTTAGGCAGAGAGAGAGAATGTTCGAGACGGAGAGCTATTGTACTGTATTTACCAAATTTTGAAGATTTATGTTAGATGCCAAAAACAATTTCTGAACATATTTTCTTCAGTTTTTAAGGTTGTTGTTGAAACCAGTTAAAGTTCTCGGAAAATTTGCCATTTAATCAACCCAGTGGCTTCTAATTTGAACTCTCGTCATCTCACTCTCTCACTCTCTCTCCAATTTGAACTGTTTTCTTGTCTCTGGTTTCAGTTCATCAGATTGTTCAGTGTTGGGTTGATTTATGTTGTGGGAGTTGAAGAAAAATGGGTTCTGTCGATTTGAAGAAAGTGGGAGTGGAGACAGTGGAGTAAGTGTAAGTGGTTCTTCACCAAAAAATTGTTTGGAAAAGTTATGAATGGATGTTCATTATTTAAATCATCATTTTTGGCTGGAACAATCACAGATGTTTGAGCTTCTTGGCTTGTTCTTGAAGATGTTCAAACGATTTCATTGCAGGAAGAAATGCTCATTGAAATCAAATGTGAAGGATTGTTGCATTAGAGATTCAACAGAACTTGAGTGTGAAGAGTGCAAGATATAAAAAGAATAAAAAATAATGGTGACATAGTTCAATATTTTCTTATCTACACAGTGGTGATCCCTTATTTCTCTTCTTCTTAATGACTCACAAAAAGTTCATTACTTCAACCCTAAGACATTGACTATTTCATCTCTTCTTCATTCACCATTTTTCAATCTGGTAATGAAGCTTTAAAAAAATTAAGGCATGTTTTACCTCCTCTAACATATCCTCCTTATAAATTTTTACTCACCTTAAATTTCAAAAATTTAATTGCCCTCCTCATAAATACTTGAATTCTTTTTGGCAAATATATGCTTTTGAAGTCCAATAATTGATGCGTGTAAATTATGGAGTATTTATTATTGATGAGATTAAGTAAAATATATACGTCATCACTAAAAATGCAATAAAGTTTGTGTGGTTGATTTATGAAGAAATAAATCAGGATTAGGAGAATATATACAAAGTATTTTAGAGAAATATATTTATTTTCTCTAGTTTCGTTTGANCAATACTTTTAATCCAAAACCTTCAAGCAACATGTTTAGGAATCTTCTACTTGTATACTGGTATTTTGAATTCCTAACAATCTTCTCCACCTTGAATTACTTGTCATCCTGAATTCCTAACAACCTTATTTCAATCTTCCGTTTTCTTCCATTTTGAAAAACAGGCTATGGGTTTCTCCGAAGTATTCTGCATCTTGGGATGGCTTGCCATATCATTGTCAAAGGTTACCATCCTTACACGCCACTTTCATATAAGCCTATACAAGCAAAATATCTTTTTGAGCAATTAACTTGATCGATAAAGCAAACCTTGATATTTGCACACAAGTTAAGTCGTTTTTATCTGACACTTGGTGCTTGTTTGAAGGTTGGTTGGTGGCTTTACGTGGGAAGATTTTTGGTAGGATGTGGAATGGGCCTTCTATCTTATGTGGTAATTGTTGTGACTCTTAGTTTTTCACAAATGCAGTTCGAGAGGAATTCGGTCGCTCAAAACAAAAACAATGGGTTTGTTTCTTCTGTTTCCATTATAGGTACCAGTTTATGTGGCAGAAATAACACCCAAGAATCTCCGAGGGGGATTCACCACAGTTCATCAGGTAAGGAAACGATGATTCTTTTCTGAGTATCACTTTGCTTCCATTGCAAGTAATAGGCTTATTTAAAATCCAATTTGGAGTTTCTTTTGACAGTTAATGATTTGTTGTGGGGTATCATTAACTTATCTTATTGGATCGTTCTTAAATTGGAGGATTTTGGCTCTAATAGGTAATGCTCATCTGCATGGTTTTCATCTAACATAGTGAAATTAAGAAAGGTTGCAATGTAAGTGGCATTTTCTTTCTTTATCTCAGGAACTATTCCGTGTCTCGTACAACTTTTGGGTCTATTCTTCATTCCCGAATCTCCTAGGTGGCTGGTGAGTTGTTTGAGATATTTTTGTTGATCTGTTGTTGAACATGACATGATTCACACAAGAAACTGAGATTTTCAGTCACTTGTGTCAAATAATTGGAATCACTACATGTTAGACAAACACATTGCAAGTTTGTGACAGTTTGAAATCTTGTGTAGGCAAAATTTGGTCACTGGGAAACGAGTGAATCTGTTCTACAGCGTCTTAGAGGAAAGAATGCTGATGTTTCTCAAGAGGCCACTGAAATTAGAGTACATATAGTGTTTGTTCATTATTGTGTTGGGGTAGTAGAAGAAGCTTAAGAGTCTAACACATTATTCTATGTTATTTTTTTTGTAGGATTTTACCGAAGCCCTTCAGACCAAAACAGAAGCTACCATTTTTGGCTTATTTCAGTTGCAGTATTTGAAGTCACTTACTGTGAGCTGAGCTTTCTAAGATATATTTTCTTGTTCTTGCAGCCTGTCTTGTCCTTTTTGCAGATTCTTATGGTATTTTTTAATTACTTTGTTAGGTAGGAGTTGGTCTGATGATACTGCAACAGTTTGGAGGGGTTAACGGCATTGCTTTTTATGCAAGTTCTATATTCATCTCTGCGGGTACATGCATATTCTTTTTTTAATGCTTCTAACACATGACTGATAAAGAAGATGGCCATGAGAATGTTCAACTTATAACACAATTGTCATAGAGGCAGAAATTCTTATCTATCTCAGGATTTTCGGGAAGTATTGGAATGATAGCAATGGTTGCAGTTCAGGTTTTCATTCTCTTCATACAGTTGATTCGCTTGCCTTCTTACTGTTGTATAAAATGAGATAGATGCCACTCCTTTGGTGAGTCTTCTCTTCACTTGTATCTTTATAGATCCCAATGACAGCTCTGGGAGTGCTTTTGATGGATAAATCTGGTAGACGACCACTTCTGCTGGTAGAAAAGATGATGTTTTGTTTCTTCTGTTTTGTGCTGATATGTAAGATCTGAATCCAAAATGTTTAGCTTTATGCAGGTTTCTGCTTCGGGAACATGCTTAGGATGCTTCCTTGCAGCCCTATCATTCTTCTTGCAGGTTCTTTAAATAACAAAATCTGCTCTACCAAGATTGCTTTTTTACTTTAGTTATTTCAAAATGGTCAATTAATTGAGCTTGCCTCATGCAGGACCTACATAAATGGAAGGAAGTCAGTCCCATTCTGGCACTTGTCGGTGTACTGGTGATGATTTTTCAACGGCAATGTTTAAGCAATAATGCACCATTATTTGAATCTTTGATTACAGTGTGCAATCTTATGCATTTAATTGGATAATAATAACAATAACAAAACATAAATTCAAATTCATTACTCGTTTTATGACATTGAAATGAGATGAAAGAATGTTACCTGTGTTTTCTTTTTGCCCAGTTAATAATAACATCACCGAACATCAAATACTTCTAGAGTGTATAATGTAATGAAGTTCGAGTTCTTTACTGTCAAATACTCACACCAAAAAATGACTTCTTTCTTTGTTTCTAGTTAGCATTTTATTTGTAACGAAGAATATTGAAAACATTGAAACAAATCCACGTACCTGATATTTTGAACAGTTAGTTTTTTCAATGATCAGGTATATACAGGATCATTCTCTCTTGGCATGGGAGGAATCCCCTGGGTTATAATGTCTGAGGTATAGTTTCTGAACATATATATATGAAATAAAAAATGGATCATAAGAAGTTCTTAAAGTGTACTGAATTATCTTTTTCATGGCTCCCAGATATTTCCCATTAATGTGAAGGGCTCTGCAGGAAGTCTTGTGACTTTGGTTAGCTGGTTGTGTTCTTGGATCGTGTCATATGCTTTTAACTTTCTCATGAGTTGGAGTTCCGCAGGTAGGTTCATTCATACTTACTGCACCCTTAAAAGAGAAAACCAAAATGACCCAGAAAAGAAATGATACCAAGAAAGCAAAAACTCACATTATGTTCGTTCAGGAACTTTCTTCATCTTCTCTGCCATATGTGGCTTCACTGTTCTGTTCGTGGCAAAACTAGTGCCAGAGACGAAGGGGCGTACGCTAGAAGAAATTCAAGCATCCCTCAAGAGATGAATTCGGCACATTTATGAAGGACACGGACAAATGGTGATTTATGAACAACTTTTACAACGTTGATCTGAAAACTACTTTTTCAAATAAGAACCGATGTATTGAAATAACCAGCAATTTAATTTTCGGAACAAATGATACAACTTTGTTTTTGAACAACGTGTAAATGATCATTGCCTGGGTCTGGGAGCAGGAACAACTCGCGCAAACTCCGAGGGCCAATGTCTGTGTCTTGCAAACGTGCTTATTAGAAGACCTGGGAATCGCGTTTTCTTAATTTTGTTAGGGATGGTCAAACGGTAACAAAGAATAACCAAAATAAAAAATGGTTTCTAATTATTGACAACAGTTTGATGTTTGACTAAAACGTGTATGAGCATAAAAATGGTAGAAGAGAAATGAAAAAGAAAAGAAAAAGATTAACGAAGTGATAAAAAGAGGTCAACGCATAATTAATACGTGGCATGTAGGATTAGGAGATAAGAGGTTAGCGTTTGGTTAAAATTTAACCCACAGAAAAAAAGAAAGAGATAAAAAGCTATTTGCGCGGAGTCCAACGTGGGACCCGGCACCGTTTGCTCCATGAAGGATTCCAGCTCATACCCCGAAACAAACACGCCCTTCCTTTTCTTGCGTTTTGTTTGGTTGGCACTCTCACTCTGCCACCCCATGCCCATGCTATGCTTTTCCTTTTTATTTTATTAATAACTTCTTTCTCTTCTTCTCTTCCAGAATCCCTTCTCACAAATTGTTACAACTGCTTTTACGTTTTGATTATGATTATTGTTATTATGCCATGACAAGCTCAACCGGTTTCCCTTTCTATCCGCCTTTTCTTTTCTCCCTCGTCTTCCCTGCCATGATCAAATTGTTCAAGAGAAACACCTCCACTGACACGTGTCATCATCACCACCACTATCACCACCATCCACTTTTGGGCCTTGGACTCGCCACCACAGACGTCCACAGACCTCCCAACGTTCTGGAGTCCGCCATGCTGAAGCCCAACAGCGACGTGCCTCGGCCCAAGAAGACACAGATTGGATCCCTTGACGAAGAGGTGGTCTGCTTCGTCAGCGGCTTGGCCTCATGCACGGAGACTCTAGGCTGCGAGAGCTCCGACCAAATCCACAGTAATTGCGAGGACGAGGATGTGATCGATGGCGAGAAGATTTCTCGGAGGAGGACGGTGAAGACGGAAGGGAGAGGGAAGGTGAGGACATTTCCACCGCCGCTGTCGTCGCTCAATCGGAACGGTAAACCGAGTTTTTATCTCCGGCCTGTGAGGAAAGACGGGAGGTTGGAGTTGACGGAAGTGAGAATAGAGCGACCGGAGATTCTGCATGCATGGCGAGAGAACGGGCGTTTGACATTGCGTCTGGTGTCAGATCTCGAAGAGGAAGAGGAAGACATAGAAGAAGAAGAAAAAGAAGAGGAAGAGGAAGAGATAGAAGAAGAAGAAAAAGGAATAGAGGAAGAGAACGTCGGAGAGTGGAGGCTCCGGAGTAGTGAAGGGTTAAGGAGGTGTCACGAGATGGTGAACCATCATCACCATCACCATGTTCATGGCAGCATGCGCATGTGTGGAATCAGCATTGTGTGAGGGTTGGAGGGACACGTGGCATGGAGCTTTGAAGGGGAATGAATGATTTGAACGTTGGAATTTGCACTGCAAAAATTGGCAGAAGAAGGGTTGGATGTGTATAGAGAGAAATCATGCATGCATGCGGTGGTGTTTGGTTGCTGGAAAAACGACACTACCAAGAGGTCCACACAGGCTGTAATTACTTTGCTGCGTTTTGTATTCTTAGGCAGAGAGAGAGAATGTTCGAGACGGAGAGCTATTGTACTGTATTTACCAAATTTTGAAGATTTATGTTAGATGCCAAAAACAATTTCTGAACATATTTTCTTCAGTTTTTAAGGTTGTTGTTGAAACCAGTTAAAGTTCTCGGAAAATTTGCCATTTAATCAACCCAGTGGCTTCTAATTTGAACTCTCGTCATCTCACTCTCTCACTCTCTCTCCAATTTGAACTGTTTTCTTGTCTCTGGTTTCAGTTCATCAGATTGTTCAGTGTTGGGTTGATTTATGTTGTGGGAGTTGAAGAAAAATGGGTTCTGTCGATTTGAAGAAAGTGGGAGTGGAGACAGTGGAGTAAGTGTAAGTGGTTCTTCACCAAAAAATTGTTTGGAAAAGTTATGAATGGATGTTCATTATTTAAATCATCATTTTTGGCTGGAACAATCACAGATGTTTGAGCTTCTTGGCTTGTTCTTGAAGATGTTCAAACGATTTCATTGCAGGAAGAAATGCTCATTGAAATCAAATGTGAAGGATTGTTGCATTAGAGATTCAACAGAACTTGAGTGTGAAGAGTGCAAGATATAAAAAGAATAAAAAATAATGGTGACATAGTTCAATATTTTCTTATCTACACAGTGGTGATCCCTTATTTCTCTTCTTCTTAATGACTCACAAAAAGTTCATTACTTCAACCCTAAGACATTGACTATTTCATCTCTTCTTCATTCACCATTTTTCAATCTGGTAATGAAGCTTTAAAAAAATTAAGGCATGTTTTACCTCCTCTAACATATCCTCCTTATAAATTTTTACTCACCTTAAATTTCAAAAATTTAATTGCCCTCCTCATAAATACTTGAATTCTTTTTGGCAAATATATGCTTTTGAAGTCCAATAATTGATGCGTGTAAATTATGGAGTATTTATTATTGATGAGATTAAGTAAAATATATACGTCATCACTAAAAATGCAATAAAGTTTGTGTGGTTGATTTATGAAGAAATAAATCAGGATTAGGAGAATATATACAAAGTATTTTAGAGAAATATATTTATTTTCTCTAGTTTCGTTTGATATATTTATTTTTCCTTTATATTTATCTTTATTCGAAACTTTAACATATTTTGCCTTTCAAACAATTTAAAATAAATAAATGTAGTTTTTTTAATTTAATTATATATATACAGGGGTTTGCTAACACCTATTTTAGCAATGTGTACCGGGTTTTATAATACCCTTATATATATATATATATATATATATCATGGATTCTAAGTTTTACGATTAAGAGTATTTTAATAATTTTCATTCTCAAAACTAAAAAAAACCTCAAACTCTTACTCACGTCTCTCATTCCTCTAAACTCTTACTCATGTCTCTCATTCCTCTAAACTCTTTTTCTTTCATCTCTCTCATCCCAACATTTTCTCTGTCCTAGTCCCAACTGAAAAAAAAATCAGAAACACTCGCTGTTAAACAATTTCTTACAAAAAATGATTTTATAATGAATTTTCATTTTATAATTTTTGTCTTATCTAATTTTCACAAACATAATGACATATGAAGGAATTGGTAATTGGCTTGAAAAAAATAAAAAACACTTGCGTGGCGAATATACAAATGATTCAACTCTTTACACAGACATATTGTTTAATATACTTTAGTTTTGAGTATGATAAAAGAGAAATGAGTGAGAGGAAGGAGTAAAGGTTATTGAGTTTTTTTTAGTTTTGAGAATGAACTTGTTTAAAACTCGGTGTGTATATATATTTTATCAAAGGAGACGTGGATTGACTAAAAATATAAAATGCTTTGTTTATTATCTGAATATCATGACCTCATTTGAAAGTAGGACATTTTGTTTTAATATACTTTGATTTTGTATGTGTAGATATGAGGTATCATTAAAAATTAAAGTCGTCGACAGCAGGGTTCGAACCTGCGCGGGCGAAGCCCAACAGATTTCAAGTCTGTCTCCTTAACCACTCGGACATATCGACCATGTTTGGTTATATGCATCATATATAATTATTTATTAATATTACAAATTTTTACTTTTCTTGAGCAATATTTTCATTTTAGAAAATAAAATCAAAATTTAATAATCATTAATTTTAATGATTGAGATAATACAAAAAATTAATAATTGATATTTTTTTATTCAAAATAATTCAAATTTAAGTATCGATATGTATATCTTGAATTTGTTTTATTAATGATTCTAGTTTATTTTACTTTACTAGTATTTTATTATGTTTTATATTGTAACAAATTAATATCTTTAATATATAAATTAAAATTAAAATCATAAAATAATATTATAATTAAAATTTATAATAAATTGGTACCGTAGAGTATAAATATATTCTTTCTACTGTCATGACTTGTTTAACGTAAAGAAAAATTATAAGAATTTTTTTTATTAGAATATTTATATTTGTCAAAAGATGTTAGAATTCTTTAAAAGTGTTTAGTCATTCAAAACCACGAAGGAAGAACGAATTGATGAAGTTTGACATATAGTTTAACTAAAAGGTGAGTTTAACTTAATTATATAGTAAACTTCGAAGTTTCAACTATTGAGTAAATTATCAAATGATTTTGAAGTGGGTTACTTAACGTATGACAAAATATTAGATACAAAATTTATTATCTATTTTTTTAATTTTTGTTTATTCTAATTTCCTTTTCAATAAAACCTTTTTTTATCATTGCAATTGAAATGTGAAGACATAAATTACGAAACAACATGCTCTAACACATTTATTTGATTATAAATTCAAAATGTTTGCGATCCTAATTAATGTTAACCTTTTTTTTTGTTTTATTTGGCCATGAAAAATTTTCATTTGATTGGATCTCACTTAACGATATGTTTTAATTGTAATTAAGTGTCTAATTGTTGGAATAATTTTCCAAGAACTTAGGGAAACAAGATGAACAACAATGTAGACTTGATATAATCTTCTAGGCGTGAATACACACTTTCTTAAAAGCAATATTTCGTCCCTTATAAGAGCGAAGGGAATCATGAAATCCACTTTTGAGATACAAAGAAGAAATACAACAATAATACTCACTCTTAGTATTAACGTCAAACAAGAATAAAATTCTCACGAACGAATTGATATGTGTGTTAAGTGAATTAGAGAATGTAGAGAAAAAGTCTTATCTTATATTTTTTATCAATAGAACACATAATCCAAGAGATGTTGATCAGACATCTTTTAAATCCAAGAGATACCAAATTCTGATTAGTTACATTTCTTCATAAATGATTATAACTTTTTATGAATGGTTGTAAGCCTTCATGAATAATTGTAACTTTTCATGAATGATTGTAACTCATGAATAATCTGAAAAGTGTCTCTGATACTCTTAAATTTCAACACTAATTGATTAAAAGATGTTGAAGTTATTTAATAAAGATTATATATATTAAATGAAACTGTGTTGAAAAAGTACAAGATTATGATTTTTTATTTTCAAACATGAATTGAATTGAAGATCCTTATATAATCATAACATCACATTTCTAATCAATTAAAATTTATTTTAATTAAGAGTTAAATATATTTTTATTTTCAAATTATTATAAAAAATTATGTATCATTCTTAAATTGAATTATAAAAATTTAGTTTTTATATTTTATGAAAATCAATATAAAATGTGATCCCAACAAATTATATGTTAAGGTTATATTTTAATTCATGAAATTTTGTTTGATATATTAAATGTTTTACATATATTTTTATAAAATAAAATAAAAATAAATACTTTATAGTTTAATTTAAAAACGAAACATAATTTTTTATAATAATTTAAAGACGAAAAGACATATTTAATTATTTGATAAATAATAGGCTAGAACAATCTTATAAGAATTCACCATTTAAACAAACGTATAAATTTTCTTATAAATATTGTATAAATAATTTATATTAAGTGGTTTTAAGTCAAGAACATCATAACAAAACCTACTAACTTAAACATACATTATTCTCACACTTAATTTTTCATCTCCTACTTTCCAAAATTGAACCTTTCCATTTCTTGCAAAGTTGTTTTCTCTATATACCTCTTCCAAGAACAACTTGATTTACTATTTCACCATTTTTCCATATTATCTCTCATTCTTCTTCCACATTGTTTGGTAACTTCACACCAATAGTTGATGCTTGATTTATAAATTCATCTTTCACCACATTTGCTGGAATAACATACACATTAAAACTTATAGTTAAAACAAAAAAAAATACAATTAATTAACAAACATATATTATAAATGTTATAACTAACCATTGTTTTCCATATTGGGAAATTGTTCATAAAAAATATTACTTTCCCATAACATTCTTCTAGTGCCCTTTTGAATCCTTGAAGTGGTTTCTAATGGTGGCCTTGGAATAGAGAACCTTATTTTGAAGGTACCTTGTCCTACATATTTAAAGTGCACCAATTTTCCAACCTCAATATGGTAGAAATCCTTCAAACTATTCATACCATTGTTAAAATAAGCACAAACTTTATTGTTTATTGTAATAACATCAATTTCCACAGCAAAAATATTGCCATAATCATCTTCAAGTATAACTGCTTTGCCCAGTTCATTACTCCATGTGTTATAGAACCCTTTTGGAATTCTTACTCTGCTCTGATTTATATTTTACAAAAGTAAACTATGTCAGATATTATGATTATTAAATGAAAAGTAATTATATAATTTAAATATTATGTAGTAATATTTACCTCACAAGCACGAATTATTCCTTCAAAGTAGGCATCTGTGTAATCATTTATTTTTCCAAATTGTTGATCCATGGTATGGTCTGTGTATAACATAAAAAATAGATATATCTACATGTCAAATATAATTATTTTTATATTTTTGGTCCTCATTGTAAGACATATCAACCAAGTAGTTTGTTGATAGAACATACCAATATCATCATATAAAAATGCATTTTTTTTAAGTGAGAAACATTATATTACAATGAGAAACTTAATAGGAAGAACATTGATTTCACATTCTAAATAAAATTATTTTTACATCTCTTTAATGTTTTTAATAAAAATATTAAATGTTTTATGAGAAATTATAAAGTACTTGATAAGGGACACCGCCAACATTTTCTACAAGGTACATTATAATAAAGATAAAAAAATTATATGATATATTAAAATAACTAAATAATCTTTTTATGTTTTTTCAAAGTGGATTCTACAATAACAATAAAATACATAAGATAAAAAATAACTTTCATTTGTTATTATCTATACATAAAATCTTATGTGTTTTTCTTCATTAACAAATATAATATTTAATTCGCAACTATTTTCTAATATAAATATTAAATCACTTATTCCTTTTTTTTCACATCAAACCACTTCCAGTTTTAGTCAATACTCATATGAATGACAAAAATGAAATAACCAGATTGTGTAAATTCATGGACAATGAATAGAAAGAATAAAACCTGAATATGCATCGAATAAAAAAAAATTGAACCTTTTGATGAGAGAGAATTTTAGTAAGATAGGAAAAAACTTTGTCTTCCTTCCATTAAACCTGAGAAAAAAAAAGATGAGAAAATAGGAAAACAAAGATATTAATGTTAGTTTTTGCATGAAGGAAGAAAAAGAATGACATAAAGAAGGCTAAAATGGAATAATCTAACATAACTATCGATGAATAAATTGGAGAACCTAACAATGATATTTTTCTTCAGCAGATGAAAATTATGATGTTATATCATCAGAATGTGTATTTTATGTCAAAGAGTAAAAGAAACTTGAGAAAAGTTGAAGTAAATAGATTGTCTTGTTAAATATTTTAATAAAAATAACGTTTATTCTTCAACAGTTATATTTGACTTATTTACTTTTATATATTAATTATTATATCATATTTATTATATTTATTATGTTGAAGAGAGATCAAGTTAAGAAAAGCTTTAAAAGTGTTATTGATATCTATATATTAAGTTGAATTAACCTTTTATGTAACTAGCACAATATGATAGTCATACCGAGTCTACTCAATAGTGAGTTGGGAGGTTCACCCATTGGTCCAGTAAATATGACAATTTCTCAAATTATATATATATATATATATAAGATTTATCGGGTTAACTAATGCATTTAAATGGATAAATTTAGAGAATAATTTTATTCTGTTAAATTATACAATTACAAAAAAAAATTTAAACTTATTTAAGAGGCATTATTTCAATCATAAATTCATTTGCATTCTTCAAATAACATAACACAAAAAATTAAAATCCTTTAAATTATAATTCTTCTTATTTTAAAAAATATGTTTTATTTTAATAAAATAATTTTAATATTTCTCACACATAACAATAAAAAAATGTGAACAAGTTGATGAACTTGACAAAAGAGGACTATTCCATATGAAAAACTTTTTTTTAACAATTTTTTTTTAACAACTGCTTATATGACCGTTTGTGATTAATCCATTTTAAATATACAGACCAATAAAACAGTAGCATGTAATCCATTATCAAAAATTGTTAAAATATCGGAATCCATTCCATATTCAGGTATACTTAAAAACTAGTCTTATAGTGTCAAACTTTGTATGGTGTTAAATAAGTGTAAAACTTTTTTTTATATCAAAATATCATTATTCAATCTTAAAAGACGATCAAGACTACGGGAGAACTATATGCCTCCGTAGATGTACTTATAAAAAAATATCTTTAATTAGTAATTTTATTTTTATATTTAAATTTAAATTTATTTTTATTTAAATTTATAGTTATATAATTTTATTTTTATTTAAAAATTATTAAAACTTAGTTAAATAAAAAAATATATAAAGATTAAAATAAATCACATGCCTAAATATACTTATCAAATAACTAATCAAAGTCTAGGAAAATGTAATATACATGTAAATGTAATGAACATTTACTCTTATATACATAGTCAGACAATATTCAAAATGAAATTTGAGACATTGGATGATGGAAATAATGAGGAACCATAATTCACTCTTTAATCTAACAACTACTTACTAAACCGGATTTAATGTGTAAGAAAATGGAAATAAGCTTTGACAAGCTTATACAAAATAGGTGTAAACAATATATCATATTACACATTTTATAAATGCAAGATTCATTAGATAAGTGAAACTTACAAAAATCATATTTTTCTAATAAATGTTGACTAGTGGCAGAAAATATGTTAAAATGAACATGCAATATATTATATTGCTAATATGTCTCAATGTGAATAAGTCTATTTTTTTATGTATAATTTGTGGTAACTAATTAACTGATTTAGCAAGTGGCTTACACATATATAAGGTAGTTTAGGTAGGAATCACTCAAATTTACATCTTAAAGTGTGTGTATGCTACCTTGACCAATTCCTGAAGAGAGTATGGAATAACCCAGAACCAAAAGCAGTATCCCTCAGTCAATATATGAGTTCTGATTGTACGAGTGACTCCATATACAACTCGAGATTCATTCGGTTGAGCAGCCTTTGCATATGGTCTTCCTCTTCCTGTTTTGTGTTTCCAACGGAAACCATCTGAGAATGGGGTTATGCTCAAATGTCGATGATTCTGCAATATACAATAGGAGACTGAATATCTTCCAAGACTTTCAAGAATTTATTCATCCTGAGTATACTCTAACAACATGTGTGGAGAACGGTAGATTTTAACAAGCGTCCAATATAAAATCTCTTCCACTTCAAGCTCTCCAGCAGCTCTTGCAGCATATATATCTTCACATATTGCCATCAATCTGCATCAATGAACAAATTATTTGGTCACTTATGAAACCTTTGGCATCCACTTCGTTTTATTCCTCACTAAAACAGAAGGGAGCCTCATATGAACAATCTATAAGATGGATTAATTGCTCGAGCACCTGTCACACGAGGGAAGATTCTCAAAAGGAATTCTCATTCGCAAGTCAGAACATTGTAATCGGATAAAACGTCCAACTGCTAGGACAAAGGTAATGTACAGCCCCCAGATACTAAACTTGCTGAGAGTGTCACCGATAATGCCCTCTTAAGCAACAAGGAGATTGGTATTAGTCAGTGTATTGATAAAATCTGTGAGGAAACAATGTCTGAATTCGGCCTAACTCATGAATAGGACACTATGTGATGAGTGTAAGGATTAAAATGATATTTGGTTGCATTATTTTAAAAAAATAAAATACTTGTCTGAATTTCTAGATAGGAATTTACTTTGGTTGTAATTTTAGACTAAAATTTAATTTTACTGCATTTTCTTTTAATTGTAATTTGTTTTTTAGTTTCTTTAAATTTGTAATTTTAGACTGAGTTTGAAATTGAGCTTCAATTGAAGACTCAACAAAATCTCATTAAGGAGTGCACAGTTCAACCAAGAAAAGGAGAGAAGAAAGTCCAATGGAAACATGGAAAACAAGTGTTCATATTATTGCCTAGGAGAGCAAGTTACACAAACAAAGAAAGCACCACTCAAATTCAATCGTGAGAGAACCTTTTAAATTATAATTTGAATTTGAATTTTCCCTCTTTAATAGAATTCAAATTTTGGATCAAACATCTATTTTGGGTATATAAAAAATTGGAAGAGTTTTTACAACATTATTTCTTGTTTCAATGTCATGTTCTTTCTTTCCTAATGTTCTTATGAATCTATTAATCACATCCTCTCATGAACTCTTCCTAAAATTAAAGCAAAGATGAGGTTCATGATGTAGTTTGATTCTTGCTATATTATCTTGCTTCTAATGCTTAGGTTTCTTTGTCAACCTTGTCTTCTATCACTATGCACCATGTAAGGGTCTAAAAATATATGGCAGTTGGGCCTTATGTTGAAGTAGCCAGGCCCATAACACTAAGGGCACTATGACCTTAGGAGGAACTTCTCAAAGCTGAGCTCATTATCTCAGCTTCCCATTCTCTCTCTAAAAATCTTGTTCCTCCATTCTCTCTGCCTTCTCTCTACCTTTCCCTCACGTTTAGTGGTTGCATGTTGGATTAGGTGGTGCTGAAGTGACCGTAGCGTAGAGACCTTCGCAACCATCCGAATAGATTTTTCATTTTTCAGCGGGTAAGTAGCTCTTCACTGTTCTCCGCTGTTTGGGACCTAGGGAAAGTTGCATGTGCCTAGTGTACCCTTCTTTATGTTTTCCTCCGTTCATTCTAGCTCTAAGAGCTGTTCTTAGTCACCGCATTGCGAGTTGTAGGGAGCTGTCTAGATTATTCGCGTGTGGGGTACTGGAGTTGCGAGTCTTAGAGCTGAGCAAAGAAGTTTCAAGGTAAGGGGAGCTAGGTTTTCTTAAAGTTTATTATTATGAAATGTGCAAATGTGCTGATCTTTGTGCAATTATGTTGTTTGGTTTGAAATTGTGTTTCTGAGATTTGCTGTATGAACTGTATGCTGGAAATTTGTGACTGTGGATTTGGTTGGGCTGGGTGATATTTGAGATTGATATGTTTGATGTATGCACTGTTTTGAGTAAACTGGTAGTGTTTTGGGGTCACTTGAGAGGAAGTGAGGTAGTGGTTTTGGGAAGTAGGGGTTCTGGGCACAATTGGGCTGTGGGGACATCTTAGGCAAGTCATTTGTGACCTGTTAGGATCATAAAACTGGACTAGAACATGTTAGAAGTGGTAAAAATCGAAATTGGGTCCTTAAGTTGTGGAAATTGATGTTCAAAAGACAAAACTTGATCTTAATCACTTTAGAATGGTAGTAGGAATGTTCAGAACCATTTAGATGAGTTTAGTTAAGTATAAAACAAGAATTAAGGGTGTTAGAAGTTAATAAAAATGGTTAGGAATAGTTGGGTTAGGTGCTGTTCATAATTCTGCAGAATTATGCAGTTTCACAACTGATAACCGTTCGGCCTTAGCGTTCAGTCGTAATAGCGTTCGGTCTTAAGTGGAGTTCGGCCTTAGTACTCTGTCTTGTTGAGCGTTCGGTCTTAGCGTTCGGTCTTAAGTGGAGTTCAGCCTTAGTACTCCGTGCGCTCGGTCTTAGCGTCTGTCTTAGCGTTCGGTCTGAGGTGGAGTTCGGCCTTAGTAATTTGTCTTGTTGAGTGTTCGGTCTTAGCGTCTGTCTTAGCGTTTGGTCTGAGGTGGAGTTCGACCTTAGTGATCTGTCTTGTTGAGCGTTCGGTCTTAAGTGGAGTTCGGCCTTAGTACTCCGTCTTGTTGAGCGTTCGGTCTTAGCGTTCTGTCTTAGCATTCGGTCTTAAGTGGAGTTCGGCCTTAGTACTCTGTCTTGTTGAGTGTTCGGTCTTAGCGTTCGGTCTTAAGTGGAGTTCGGCCTTAGTGCTCTGTCTTGTTGAGCGTTCGGTCTTAAGTGGAGCTCGACCTTAGTGCTCTGTCTTGTTGAGCGATCGGTCTTAGTGGATGGTCTCAGGTAGCGTTCGGTCTCTTAAAGAGAGTTTGGTCTCTTAAGTAGCGTACGGTCTTAGTGGGTGGTCTTGGTAGCGTTTGGTCTTAGTGGATGGTCTCTTAAGTAGCGTTCAGTCTCAGGTAGCGTTCGGTCTCTCTTAGTGAGCGGTCCTGAATAGTGTTCGGCCACTTCTTCAGTCTTACCATGTATGGACCGTTCGGTCTTGTCCTTTGGGAAGTGAGATACCGTTCGGTCTCCCCCATTCACAGGGTGTTCGGTCTTGCCCTTTAAGTGTTGATGTTTCCTGTTCGGCTTTTATTCCTGTTTATTCCAGTATGCTATTTTACTTATTAATTCCAGTTGCTTTAAGGGTTTATATGTGCATTAACATGTTGGTGTTAAAGTGGAAAGTAGTAATTCCATGATCCTCAAGGGGGATACATGGTGGTGCCCTTCTAGTAGTGTTTAGAATGATTTGCATGGTAGCTCAGTCTTGGGGGTTTTCCTGACGCTCCAATGGTCCTTCATTTTCAAGTAGAGAGGATTGAACCATGCAGTGAGGAGTAGTAGGAGGTCCTAGTCTTGGGTGCTTCCAGTATGGCCCGAGGTGAGTGATAACAGACTAACCTCGTGAGTGTGGTAGGGTGAAACCCATTGGCAATGGCTTTGCAAAGCAGTAGAAGCCACCACGAGTGCATTACCCGTCATAGCTCGACAATCATTCTAAGTCCGGACGAGTCAAATTTAAGTGCAACAAGTCATGTTTGTATATTATAGTATATTCGCCTTTACTTGCATGTTGTCTATGCCTGTTAATAACATGATTTTTATATCTAGCTCACCCTTGCTTGTGTGTTTGTGTTTGCTTGGGTATGCTTTCTTTTGCAATGATCATCCACTTGGATGTGAGCAGAGATGGATGAGGTGCCTCTGGAGCAGGCTTTGGAGGAAGGCGATGTTGCGGCTTAGTCTCCTTAGGACTCTCTTAGTATTTCTTGTATTTTGAATTACTATTTAGTTGTTAAGGATTTTCCCGGTGATTCTTATCCTTTTGAAACACTCTACTTGCGTTTAAGTTTTAAATCATGCCTCATTCTGGGATGACTGTAAGCTTAACTACTTTGTTTACAGTCTACTCTAACTGTTCTCTTTTATTTAAATGTGGACTTACTATGTTATATGCTTCTATATAATCTGGGATGTTACACACCAAGTGTGAGTTTAGAGGAAAGTTTATAAAAACTTTTGAAGTGAGGTGATTGATATTATAATGTAATGATTCTAAAAAGCAAGTTACTGGTAATAAAACTGACTATTTTTATTTTTATGAAAACAAAAAGTACATAAATTTGTTTTAATTTAGATAATTTTGGAGGTGCAGGATGAAATGTTTGGAGGTGCAGGGTGAAACAGACCCAAACATATGAAAGACACTAAATAGGGAACTGTATTAAAGTTTAAGTTCAGCTTACGCGGGGTTTCTTCAGATACAATTATAGCCATGGGTCCTGGGAACTTCCCACATCCAAGTGAGCCTAAATAGCCCATATCATAAAACGACCACCACTCAGGATCTCCACGGTTAAGAACAAGATCCCCACTAACCAGCTCAACCTGCATGGACCATATATGCCCATTATAATCTGAGCCATAGCTAGTAAAGGAATGTAGCAGTTCAACTAAGTAAACTAGGAACATTTTTTTGGTCTTAATAAATATTTTTAGTCTTAGATTAGGCATATTATATCTTCTTAAACATACCGACTGTTCGAGGGATCGCACATCTCCGGACCCTGTGACTCGGAAATATCTAGGGTAAATATTGAATACTGCGAAACTGTTAGAAGTACCATTGAAAACTTTAGTCACTTCTGAAGATGTGGGAATATTCGGCTCCATTATGGTCAATTCATACTTGACTGCTTCCTTTCCTTTAGGCCTATCTCTGAAAAATTCCCAGGAGAAAGAAATGTCCATGCGTCGCGTAAGGGACTTTATAAATCTGGTCTGCACAATTAGTGGAACATGCCACAATGTACTTGCGTCTGATTGGCAGCAAATTAATTGGATGTCTTTCTCATTGTATGCATTAAGATAACCCTGGGGATCCAAACTTGTTCGTGCTTCAAGATTTTCCCAAGAAATCTTCTCGCACAAAGTAGTCTCAAACAGTGTCAACCGTCCACTTGATGTCTTTATATCAACCCTGGCACTTGCATCTTTGATTGGGTTCGCAATGTTTGTTGGGTTACCACTGCTGTACATCTGTCCAGAAAATGTAATTTTGAGGAAATGGTGGAAGTGATACTTCAGTAAATGATTTAGGAATATTTTTTGCCTCCAATGTTATTATAATCTAGACTTCACAAGTGATCTCAAAAATGTAAAAGTAACATTTAACAGCTTTTATCTGCAAAATGACAGAGGCATATAAATAAAATATTTGAAATATGTATTATAGGATTATGAGAGTCGAGAGTTTAGAACAGGATTGTGTTGAACCGACCAGTGCTACATCATTCCCCAAAAGGAAAAGAAAAAGAAGTGCCGGTAATAGTCCTATGGTATGACCTATGAGCTATCTGAAACAGCAGACATGACCATATAGCGCTTCCATGATTTTTTTACTCCTAATATGCTATTTTCAAGGCCTGACAATAGTCTAGCTACAGCACAGCAAATATATGTCCAAGTACTTGACAAAAGATTTTTCGGGTTGGGATTCTCTGCTCTTATCTACAGGACTTGAACACATCTATTAAATCTAGGAAAAATATATCTCTGCTCCCTATCAAAAAATTATAATCGAAGTGGAGCAAACAAGCCAACTTGAGATAATTCAATTACCTAAGCTAAAACGTACATAACAGGTATTGGGCCATTACAGTGACTCGGGGAAGAGAAGCCGTGCCAATGATTTTATATATTTCTTTTCATTAACCAGTCATATTCATCAGCTAAAAGTTATGAAAGAAGAAATTATATCATATAGTTCTATGGAAAGTTATTTTCAAGCAAATTGCTTCTTTAAATTGAAAATGTTTTCTTATCTTTCTCACGTGAAAGGTATTTGCTTCAACCTTTGTAGACCAAGTCATTCCCATATTATTATGCATTTCATTAATTGTATAAAAGGATTTCAGAATCAGATGAAACTCAAAGTAGTAAATTTTATTTTTAAATTTTAACCAATAAGCAAATACTTGGATTTTTGTTTCTTACCAACATTGGAGCCCATATGACACATAGTAATACAAAAAATAAACATATCCCATTGATGAACTTCGTCGTTTTTGTCTGCTTTTGTCCTTGTTGGTGTCTGGCTCTATTCAGATCCACATCGCATTTGACAAGAAACAGACTTGAATGAATGTCTTCTAACTAGAAAATAAGAAGTTAAAGTGTTATAAATAGGGAAAAAAACGCACATTGCCCTACAGTTTATTGTGCTCGAGAATAGCCAATTAAGAGAAGTCCTATAATATTAACATGCTAATAGCGTAACTAATAAGCAGTAGCAGCAAAAAAAAAAATATCAAGGGGGAACATGTGAAAAAAGTTGACAACATACCTTGAGCCAGTCATGCATAGTCAAAGATGTTGTTGTGCAAGACCAATCTAGCACACATCTCAATTCATAAAGGAAAGGTATAGCACGATATAGTCGAAAACCCAAAACATTAATCCGAGAAACACTACTGGTCAAAAACTGCCTGTACAAAGTGCTCTTATGTGGAATCCCAAAATGAATTTGTATGGCTTGCAAAACCAGAGAAATTGCTTTTGTGAGATAAATGGCTCGGAGTGCTAGTATCCCAGCATATCTGTGTAAAGGATCCATATCCCAAGCATATTTTGTGACAGAATACGTGAAGAGAATAAGGTTGAATAAATAGAAAATAACTTTTCCTGTTGCAAATGAGCAGAGGTATATAATTCGATCAAGCACAATCAAGAAAAAGACAACCTGCAAGATAAAGATCTTAAGCTGAGTAACTAACAAGACATAAACATCAGTGTGTTGTAGAATTAACGTCAAGTTCACCGGATACTAGAATGTTCAACACCAACACCACAAGAAATTGAAGAATAATAATAAGAACGAATGAAAGAATAACAACACCGAGAAGATAACAAGGTTCAACTAGAGTATTAACAAACTCTAATTTACATCTCCAAACAAATTCACTAAGAACAAGTTCTTCTCTTTAAGAAACCGACAGAAAGAACTACAGATTACAACTCAAATGTCTCTCTCTTACGACAGTGAATGCTCGCTCACTTTAGAACTCAACAACTCAACGTCATGTTTTACACAAAGGTACCTATTTATACAAAACAACTATAACACTCTCACGAATCATGGCACATATCACTTAACAGAAACGTGACATGTGATTCCCATGTTTCATGCTTAACACAGGCATAAAACATATGATGACCTAGATAGTGGAAGAGACACAAATGGCTGGCTATACAAGATGACCCTCTACAGACTAGTGTACCAGACGATCCTCCACTAAACAAGCATACAAGACAATGTTTCTCCAAACAGGTGTACAAGACGATCTGTAGTAGTAGACAAGTGTTTCAAAATATCTTCACTCCAATAGGTGTATTAGACGATCTTTCACCAAACAACACGCAAAGAATAGACAACCAAAGTATTAATAGACGACCTTGTTCAACTAGATGATGTTGAATAGTTTTCTAACTGACCCAATCTTTACAATGAACTTTCAGTAAATTATTTAATCAATGCATTTGAACATAAATGGCAAGTCACATCAAGCAAAATGACCAGCCACCTACATCTCAGTATTTGACTTATAGTATACATCATAGAAATGAAATAAAAGCCATCTATATCAATACATTCCGAAAAAAAAAAACTTACCATGAGAACTAATACAAAATCTTCTGGGAACTGATCTTCAAGCTGATAGACTTCAAAAAACTCACTATTAGCTTTCATAACTGTTTCGTATAAAATGGAAATTAAGAAGAAAACAACCAAATCAGCTCCAAAGATGTAGGCATACAGATCAATTTCCTTCTTTCCACCACCAATGACGGATAGTATGCGATATGGAAATGCAATTTCTTTAAAAATACCAACTTGTTGAGCTTTCTGAATCTCATTAGATACATCTTTCGCTGGGGTTAATGAACTGTACCATTCCTCAGAAGCAAATTCAGCAGGAGGGGAGGCATATAACACCTCAAAAACAACAAGACACAAGTTTTCGTTTTCTTCGCCTTTTTCAATGCTCTGTACACGAACCCTACTTGCTGAGTGCAATTTAAAATGGTTATCCACTTTGCATCTCCTCCTATGCAAGATCTTCAGCAACTTATTTATTCTTGATTCAATTTTCTTTGGTTGAATTCCCTCTTTAGGCCACGAGATAACTTCCATAGACAGCTGGACAAAGTAAGGGGGAGTTTCTGCATCCCATGTCAATGATTTCCAGTACCTACAGAGGCTTCTGATAATCAGTTTCAGTATACTTTTCACGGGTAAAAATAATCTCGGTAATCTCTCCCGGTAGGTGGAGCACTTTAAATTCTCTATGCACCTCTGATTTCTTCTCTTATAAAAGGTGAGATCTGCAGTAATTGTCCAACCCCCATCCTTCACAGTTACGGAGATTTGCACAAGAGTGAATATATATACCAGGAAAAATGGTAAATTGCTTGTCACAAAAGATGATGTTATTTGCTTAGTAGGAAATCCTAATTTTTGAAGTAAGCTAGCATGAAATTCAAACTCGGTATGTTGAATGATGATTTGATACAAGTACTGAAGCAAAATGCACACCTCCGTATAGATTAGCATAATAACCCAAAATATGTAACTGGGACCAGTATTTTGACAGAGAGCATATAAGAAGAGAGCTGCTAGATAGACCACAGAAAGTAAACTGAAGTACCATAGATATATTAGAATAAAGCAGCAATAGCAAACAACATCATTATTTGACCTCATTCGGGACCACATGTAACGTAAAATAATTCCAATTTGGAGGCATGCAGTATCAGGCACAGTATGCTCGTGAAAAGAGTGGGTAGAAATTGCAGGTTCTAAAGGTTCGGCACCGACATTCTGATTCTCAATTTCAATCTCATAGTATTCCTCATCCTCTGAAGAATCTTCAGTTGACTCTAGTTCCCCACGTTCTATCTTTAGATAGTTCATTAGATTTGTAACTGCCATATTTCCAAGAGATTGTAACTGAGATAGCCCACTTCCTATGAAATATATAGCTGAAACCAAAGAATTTCTCCTACCTGGAAGTTCACAACGATTTCTTATTTCCAAATCCAAAACATTATTGTTTTTAGTTCTTTCCTTTCCCTCCACAATTCCATGAGGAGAAACCATTGGGTGCTTCCGGTATTGTGGTATCAGTGGACATTTTGATTTTTCACTCAGTAGAGATTGTTTCCCATCAAATGGACTAGTTGTCTCCGTAGTCATATCAAGATCTTGCTTCCTGAACCCATTTTCCGGATGCAAATCTACGGAAGAGTTTCCTCTATTTGTTAGGCCATCAATTTGTAGAGAAGCATTACTACAATTTGCTTCAGTGTTAATATTATGTAGCTGATTTTTAAGATTTAGCATCTCCGATTTCATCTTTTCTACTTGCAAGCTCCGAAGATGTTTCAACTCCTCAGCTTTACGAATATGCCGCAAATGAGCAGTCTTCCAAGCAGCTTTCTTCTCCTGCTGTCTAAGTATGGCACCAATCTGCTCTTTCTCGAGATGTTTTGAAACATAAGCAAACTCTGGAAATGAAAACATGTATGACTGTAGTGCTACCAACACAAATATTATGATTTCCACAATTGATGATCTTGATGTAATTCGAAACCCATAATCATACTTGTGCAATCCAATCAATCCATTAATGGATTCTATTGAACCAAATTTGAAATTACTGAAGTTTCCAACAAAAGGAGATTGATATGCAAGTGACATGACAATGAGAACAAAATTATACATCCTTAAGAATTTAAAAATTTTATTTCCCTGCTTTAGTATCTTTAGCCTCATCCGGAAGAAAACCAGAGCAAAACCAAGATAGCCAAGATGCAGAATATCATATTCAAGAGTTCCTGTAATCAAAATCAACGAGAGAACAAAATCTAGCAAGTGACAGTAACCATAAAGCCTCAGGTGGTCAACAAATGTCCAGTATCCTTTTGTCTCAAATGATAGATCACTTAGTACTGAGGCAGATTTCCATTGGGAGAGTATCTTCTGGTACATCTCCAATCCAGTGAGACAAGATGACCGGTCAGCACGGAATTTGAAACATGAAAACATGAAAACACCATAATACCAAATAAGCATATAAGGATCATCCACAATAATTCCTGCAGTAACGATATTTAGCATAAATTATTTGGGAGAAGTAATCACACAACAAGAATTTACAATGCATGGAGCTCTGAATTATCACTAATAAGCACACTATAGTATTGAAATCAGGCTTCAGGTTTGTTATATGGGATGCACATAACCCACGAGATATATGCCTAATACCAACCATCTAAACGCACATAGCCATGAATTAACGGAGAGATACCTAACCAACATTTTTTGCAGTAGCTAAAATGTATATCTGATACTCTTCTCCAACAGTCATTGCATGGTAGTTGTTCTTCCTCTTGGTTCGTATAAGTGTTGTGCATCCAGATGGCCAAGTATTCAATAATGACGATGGAAGCAAATAAGAAAACAAAAACAGGCCATAGTTTTTTAATTAGTAGCCGATGAAGAAGAACACAAGCAGCAAGTTATGCTATATAGAGCAGAGATATAGCATTCAACACAGCAAAGCTAGCAAGAAGCAAAGCAATCATGTTGATTTCAAGACCAAATAAATTGAAGATATTTTCAATCCAGAACTTCAAGGATACTTTTAAAACAGTCTTCTGCATCTCCATCCTTTCTTTTCTTAAGAAAAAAATCCGTTTTCTATTCCACTTCAAGCTATCCTTGGAACTCTCCCAGAAATGAAAATATCTTATTTTTTTTGCACTGTCTCTTTCAGGCCCTGAATCTGCCCCCTGGGATAATGCAGAATTAGAAGTTGGCCATGAACGACTTCTTCCACTTTTTTTAAATGTTGGTGAATTGGAATTTTCCAATTGTTTGCTCTGTGCACAGGCCGTAATTTCATTGGAAACTTCTATTGGATTGAACAGAGGACAAGGTTCATTCCATTTTCCTCCATTTCCATGAACATCGTTTTTCTCCAACCAACGCAAAACATTGTATTGAAGTATACATGCTACAATAACCACAACCTTTCCCCTTAATCCTGACTCCAAACCTTTAAAACCAGGTTTATACAACTGCAAACCCATAAATAATGACAACTGGAAGTGCTCTTGACCAGGGAGCATCTCAGCCTGATTTCCCCACATCTGGAAAAGATATTCAACCGATATAAGAAGTCCTGAATAAATTAGAAATACTTTTGCAGGAATATGAGACAACTTTGGTAATCTTGAACAATTGATTAGACCAAGAAGGTACAGGAAACCAAATGCACTTATAGGCGACAAGGATGCATAAAATAGGGCAAGAAATAGTATTTTCTCGGCATGCTGAAACAAAAGGCGTCTGGCAAAAGCAAAGGGTCCTACTTCTGGTCCACTGTAGTCACTAGATGCAGATCTTTTGCTCTTCCTCCTTTCATAGCTATATAGCTGCATCACAACCAAAACAGCCAAAGATCTCCAAATGTTTTGCAACATCGAAGCTTCTGGGTTATAACCAAATGCAGTTTGAAGATCAACAATCCTAGGAAACCACCCCTCAGAGCTGGAAAAGACACCAATGCCGTAAATGGAGATAAACACAACTATAGCATACACTTTCATAGGATACCAAAGATGCTTTCTTGATTTGCCAACAAGTTGTCTCCCACTTATCCACAGTAGAAGAAAGAATAAGTAGCCAAATGAAGCATAGTTGGGCGTGCAAAGGTATATAGTGAAGAGAATTGTTATGAAGGCAATGTATTTGCCACACAACCGATAAATAGACAGGAAACTCAGTCTTATGACCTCCAAATATGATTTAGTCTTCCTCTCTGAGTAATTAAATAGAATGGTTAGAATATTAACGTCCAGTATACACTTAAGGCTAAATATGTAGCTTAAACCAATAAAGTAACAAAAGGATGATAAGACAAAGAGGAATTATTTAGCAAAGTAAAATGAGATGGAAATCCTCAAGTATAGTCAATATTTACTGAACTTATACCATGAGTTCCTTGGTTCTCACTAGACCTTGGACTATAACCTGATAAACAAACAGGTCTGATCAAGAAAGCTCTCAAGATGCTAAAGCCAAATGGGGGACAAGATGTTTGCTGAACGATAGCTGACAGTGAAATGAGTGTTTGCAGCCCATGACTGTGAATTGCACAGAAACAAGCAAGAATCGATATCTGGAAGAAATCCACTGAATGGATATAATTAAGCAGACCTGCAACATTCACAAAACAGAAGAAAGATATCATAAATAAATGTGTTTAAGGCAATAGATATTTTACATTTGCACCATAAAAAGCACATTACAAGTTCATTCTTACATAAAAAATTTACCTAATTGTGAGAGAATCTCAAAAGCATATGAACCCTTCTGGTCCAAAGTTTTGGAGATCAAATCAAGTTGTAGAATGAATTGAACGGCAAACTGTGCCTCACATAGAAGTATAATAGCTCGGTGTAATTTACAGTCGATTGCATGGCTTAATAGATAAATTAAAAAGAAAATCACTGCATGTAGAAAAGGTAGCAGTCAGAAAAATTAGGAACACTGATACATCTCAAACTACTCTAAAGACAATGTTTCAAAGCAAGTTTCAATTTGATTAACAGTCAGCGTAAAACTCTTGGTTTTATAGATATAAAAGAAAATGCACATCATAATTGTAACTCATGTCTTTCAATTGATTTGAATACTTGAGCTATTTAATCAGGTGGAACCTTGTGGTTCATGGGTATTGTAAAACTCTTTACATTAATTGTGGATCAAAACTTCATTCCTATAAAATTTGGTTAGGACTGGACCAACATCTTGCGCTAACAGGAAATACAAATAAAAATAATTCCTTATTAACATGTTAACAAACAAATGTATAATTAACAAAGAAGGAAGTTGTTGGCAATTGTGCTTACTATAAACAGCATGAACGATACCAGATCTTATTGAAATAAGAAATATCAATATCAGTACTGCAGCATGTGAGCACTTGCGTAGTCCCCATGCTATTGTAGCCACAACCGATAGTGTCGTCTCTTCTTCCACTAGAAATTTTGCACAAAAAGAATAAACAAATAAAAAATAAAACATTTCACCCAAAACAGCAAAAAGTATTTTATAAGCACTATAAGCAATATGCCAAAATAATTGGAAGAATGAAAAAACACATTTAAGAATCATTATTTTATTCCTTAAACTGCAAATTTATAATAATTATATTTTTGAAAAAGATAAATGAAATAGCATTAGATATTCCATTGGCAAAAATTAACAGCACATTTTGCTCGGATAAGGTGTCATGATAGAGACTTATCTCAGGCAAAACACATTTTTTTCTATAGATGTGAAACATAAAAATCAAACAAGAAGACATTATTTAAAGAAATGTGTGTTGAGAAATACAAGATTTATATCATTTAAAAAATGTCCCAGCCATGCTTTCTTGCTGATTCAATTGTTAAACCTTCTGAAAGTGACTGCAGACATCAAATTTAAATGTGTTTCATAAATGAATCTAAAGCCAGTAAAACTTATTAAATTTTAACAAAAAAAAAAATAGCCAAATGTTATGCACCTTCATTAGCATATATCTCCTAACCTTGTAGAATATAAGGGAATTTTACTATGAAACTCAATCATCATTTCATAAAATCTCACTAAAAAGGAGTATCTGGTTAAGCACTTGAAAAACATAATTTCACACAGTAGTAAGCTTTGTCTACTCAGACCGTCTAGTTCTGTCACCTTCCACTACAGCTTCATCAGCTGTTAATTGTCCTTGACCAGTAATGCACAATAAAACTGAACTGTTCACAAGACTACACATAGCAAAAAGAAAACCAAGACAAAATTGAGCAAGCAAGTAGTATCCTGGGATAGGGTAATGCCACAAGCCTATAGTTTCCCATATTTCCATATCCTGCAATTGATTTATAGAGGATGTCAACAAAAGATTCTTTAATATAATTGTAAGATATCAAAAGCCTCTAGCAAAGTGTACCTTCCATGATTTGTTACTAGAGAAAGTGAGTACCACATTGAAGATATATGTGCTAGCTGCCCAAAACAGAATGAAAACAAGAAGCATGCCATTTAAATAGTGCAACCGAAACATGGAAGGGAAGGCATACAAAATGTATCCCACATAAGCAAGCAATCCAAATGAGCCAAGACTTGCGAAGTGAAAACTCCATAATGATAGAGCCAGCAAGGAAATCTGCAAGGTATACCAACTAATGCAATTAATCAACTCATAAAAGTTCTGTTATGTGTCATGGATCAAAACAGGGAGAGAGGAATCACAAGAGAACACTAGATAATAGGATCAAGTTGATCAAAGGGGGTTTGTTTCATGTTATCTTCATTCCTGGGAACGTGAAAATGGGGATAAGTATTCTCCGGAAGGGGCTGGTATAAAATATTAAGATGGAAATGGAAATTAAGTATTCCCATGTTGGATAGGTGGCTATGAAAAAATATTCTCCAGTATCTTTATCAACAGGAAAGTAAGTCCTTCACATTTTAATTGCTCCTATTCCCCTGAAGGGGGTGGTATAAAATAAGTTTAATCATTTTTAAGGTCTTCAGAAACTTCTTAAATAGGTTATTCAATTATTTTTTAACTCAATTAAGTATCAATTGATTCAATTATTCTTAATTTAAGGAAATGGCTTTAAGAATTTGAGGAAATGACGTTAAGAATGCACTCACGTGATATGACTTTATAAATCTGAACCATGTGACACATGTCAGTGAAGTGAGTTTTGTAATTTTTAAATTAAAAAATTTGGAATTTCATTAAATCCGTAATTTGCCAAAATCCCTAATTAAGGAGTGTGTGAAAACTGCGAATAATCGAGGCAAACAATTTTGGGTTGGGACCTCTGCACCAATCTCTTCAAACAAAGCTCTGGCCTATTCCATCTTCCTTTGTTTACGAAACCCAGTAATTACAGCGGTCCTTGCCACATCATTCTTTTGCGGTACAACCCATTTTCTGGCAACCCATTGATCATCACAGATACCGCGTTCCTATGAGGCATCGCTTCAAACAGCGCCCTCGCGTGCCCAATCCCACCCTCCACCCTGGCGTACTCATTGACCATGGCGGTATACAACACGACATTCGGATGCGGCATCTCTTCGAAAAGCCTCTGCGCCTCCCTCACGCTTCCAAGCCTCGCTAGCCCGAGATCACCACGTTGTACGAGGCACCGTTCTCCTCCGGCGCCGCAGCGAAGTAGAGAAAAGAGTTATCAAGGTCGTCGTTTAGACACGCGGCAATGATGGAGTTTCAGGACACGACGTTTCCCAACTGCATTGAGTGAAAAAGCTATGTTGTAAACAACTTCGAACACCCAGGCAACCTTTAATTAGGGACTTTAGGGACTTTGGCAAATCAGGGATTTAATGAAATTTCAAATTTTTTTAATTTAAAAATTACAAAATCCATATCACTAACTTTTTCAATGTGCTATATGATTCAGTTTTGTAAAGTCAACATACCACGTAAATGTGTCACATGGTTCATATTTTGCAAAGTCAACATGCATTTTTAACTCTGTTTACTCAAATTAATAATAGGACGTAATTGAATCAATTTTACGTAAATAATAGGTAAAAAACAATTGAAAGACCTGTTTAAAATATTTTTGCATAAACTTCAAAAATTATTAAACCTATAAAATATTAAAATGGAGATGAAAATGATTGTCTATTATAACTACCTATTTCCATTACATTCTTCTCTTTTTTTTTTATATTTTTTAAATTAGTAAATAACAATCAACTTATGGGAATATGATTCATGGATATAAAATTCCAAGAATGTGACTTCAGGGAATATAAGATGATACCGTGAAACAAACACTCCCTAAGAAATCAAAAGATGTTGATATGACCAATGACGGATAATCTCACGTGATTAATTTAGTAATCAACAAACTGTCACATTTTTCTCGACACCCAAAATAACCAAGCATGAATTTGTTGTAATATTATATGGTTGATTAATTTGTTAATTACAAATTACAAATATACAACTAATCACTTGATAAATTTATGGATTAACTGATTAACATAGTCTCTTGATTTTATAATATTTTAAACGGCCAACTGAGAGCCCAGAAATTTATTGTTACGAGGGAAACAAATGTTTCAAAATAAAGAGAGCAAGTGTTGCATGAACATAAATAAAAAATTTAAACAAAGATGGTCTCATTATTTTCAGACTCTGTAGACTGTTTTGATATCACTTGCGGTTTAGCAAAACTGTGGAGAAGTATTAATCTGTCAAGTTGCTTTGAGGTAAGGGAAGCTTGTAATTTAATTGTGATTCTCGTTTCATGATTGTTTACTTGTTGGAATGATGTTATGTTTGATGTTTTGGTTGATGTTGAAATATTGCATGTTTGTTTGTATGTATTGATGATTGATGAAAAGGCATAAATTGGGTATGAATATAGTTTGATCGTGATTCTGTAATAAAGAATTCTGTAAACTGTAACCGAGAGTCATTCGTGACCGTTCGGTTTTCCTTTGGTGTGTTCGATCTTAACTGGATTCTCCTTCTGAAGAGAATTTTAGTTAATGACCGTTCGGTCTTTTATTGGTAGGTTTGAACACTAAATACTTAGTTTAAGTTTAGTTTTCTATTTCTACTTAATCATCAGCCTAGTTAGGGTATTCAAATAAGTTAAGTAATCAACATTATAGTCGTTTTCAGTATGTGAATAGATGTTAGGTTGTTTTCGTGGTCGGCTTTATATATATATATATATATATG